ATAAAGTGCATGTTGCTCCAAGCTTTATCTCATATAATAATATAGAAGAAAATGTTACTTGACTGTGATTGGTTGTGCAAAAACAGCAGTGCAATAATCTGTAACAACAGTGCAAAAATCTCTAACAAACTTGTCTGATTGGTGGAAAAACATTGTGAAGATAAAATCAACCAATCAGTTTAAAGCAGTTTAGTTTAAAGAAGTAACGGTCATAGATTGCTTTAAAACAACAAAAACATGGCGCCGCGCTACATAACTTGACTTCGGTTGGAAAATATGGTTTTTGTCCTTATTTTCAAATGGAAAAGCCCTTACCTTAAACAAGACTAACAAAACTTACACTTTTGAGTGGAATTTCCAAGCTGTTAGCGTTGTATAATGTGATATAACAAAGCCAGGAAAACTTTGCCAGTGGAATGTTCGTTATAAACGTATGTTAAAACTACAAATGTCTCGAACATTTTTATCATAAATTATTAATAAGTTATAGCATGGTTTCTCGTGAAATGTGGATAAACATGCACTCGTGAGTTTTTCATGGACCTCTAATAGCACTCGTCCTTCGGACGCGTGCTATTTTGAAGTCTTTAAAAACCTAACTCGTGCATGTTATATCCAAATTGCACTCGAAACCATGCTACTAATACCTATACTTAAACAAATGATACAATTATCCTCTAAACTTGCAGTTTTCCATCATGGTATTGACAGTTAGTTTCGATTTGATCTCGGTGCAGGAATGGTCTAGGCGCGCCATATTTGAAGTTTTTTGTGGATAGAAATTTAAAGCGGAACGTGTATTTTAGGAACATTCGAGTTAGCTTCTATCGAGAAAGATAGGACATAAATCTTGATATTTACCAAGAAGTGCCATTCTTACAGTACAGTGTACTGTAGCTCAATAAAGTTAGTATCTGTTCTGTTGTGATTATTAAATTAATTGAAGTGGTTTTAATTACCACACAAAAGGAAACCGAATTCCCTGACGAAAACGTGATAAATGACACAGCTGGTCAAAGTTGAGTACGTGTATTTTTTATTGCAAATCTGTCAATATCCCTCCTGTTAAGCAGAATATTTACCACTGCTCTAATAAATCATTATCGCAATAAATAAACCTGCTGGTTTCGACAAACTATTGCCTTATCTATTCCCATATAGTTCAAGTTATTGCTGCTGCACTGTGTATACCCATATATCAGACCAATTTCTAACTGAAATGCTTGTAGAACAGAACAATTGAGGAGTGAAACTGCGGTAAATGAAGGTCTTGGTTAATGGAGTGATAATTCTGGGGAGTTGATATAATAAGTTGATCTTGTCAACTTTAATTCCTCTTGATCCAATGCTGGTCTGCATCTTAACACATCAAAATGTCCAAAATGTAAAACCCTCCAGGTCACCAGGAAATACAACAAAATAGATTTCCCTTATCAACTACAAGATACCACACTAGAAAAGACTGATTGCGAACTGGATTTAGGTGTATGGACGAATTATGATCTCACCTGGTCAAAGCAAGTTACACAACAAAGTAACTAAGCTAATAAAATGCTGGGTTATATTCGAAGATCAACATTCAATATTCGCGAGTTTGCAATTCGACGAACAATATACCTATCCCTGGTCCGCTCACACAGTCACACTTAGGATATGCCACCCAAGTATGGGCGCCCCAAACGTCGAGTTGGTGAAAAGAGTAGAACGAGTTCAGAGGCGTGCAACTAAATACATTTTAAATGTTCCCTTTATTTGTGATACAGATTATAGAGATCGACACCTTGCAACCAGTTTGCTCCCTCTCAGCTACTGGCACGAATACCTGGACGTAGTATTCTTCTGTAAGGCAAATCACGACATTTTTATTATTGATAAAAAAATTCTTCCATTTCCTCAACCTCACGGCCAAAGACAGACAAGATCATTTAATCCCAACTCGCACAAATATAAAATTCCGACATACAAGACGTCAACCTATGAAAAATCTTACAAACTCCGAACATCAAGAATATGGAACAAACTACCTAATCATATTGCATCCAAAGACCGAACATTTTCAGAAATCAAGAATCTTCTTTTTAAGTACTATATTTTAGCATTAGAAAATAAATACGATGTTGAGGTCCCCCACATGGAAAAGTGTGTGTATAAAATGTAATTTCGCTCGAAGTTTAATGAACTCTCTATTGACATGCTGCTTTTAGACAAATGTAATGACTGTTGTTCAAGTATTGTTTATTGTGTGTGTTTAGTATACCTTGTAAATTGTTTCTGTATAACTATTGGGGCAGCTGCAATTGGCAATAGTTGTTGTGGTTTCCCAGCCAATGTTTAAGTATGATGAAAAAGTAAATAAATAAACAAATTACACGAGGGCACCGAGAAAGACTATATCAGAAGCATTAGTAATTACACACGGTACTAAGTATAGCTAATAATCTAACTTCGTGTGGAGTACGAAGGCCTTCAAAATTGCGCTAGTGAAAAGGACGAATGCAATTTGAAGTCTTTTGAAACACGCGGGTGCATTTTTTCCAAATTGCAGGATGATAAACAAAAATATTTATACCAATTAATAATACATGTAAAAAATGTTGAGCACGAAAGTCATGGTCTTTTATTTGAGTGCCTCCCACGACGTTCCTGTTTGGCACGGAGTAACTTTTTTGGCACAACATTATGCTTAATTGCAGTATACATATCAACATTCGTTTTCCAATAAAAATGCAGAATTTGTGAAAGAATTTACTTGGATAACTCCATACTGACGACCATTTGTTACACGAAAACACTTGATGAATCCCACCAAAGGCCTTTGAAGGGAAAGGGAAATGTGTTCTTCCTTGATGTCTTTTATTCAAGTTATGAAAAGCTCAAAGGGCTAAGGAAGGGCGTGTTCAAGTATTCAAGTCTTTTGCCAGGACTAAACAGTGCTTTGATGAATCCATTGCATGCCACTTTCAAAAAACGTTGAAAACTTAATCTTCATGTGCAATCACTATGTTGTATAGTGCTGAACACACCACTTAATAATATTAATTTTACAAATTAAAGTTTTAAATTATAACTTTTTATGTCTTTGTTTACCATTCATTCCTCCTTGCATGCTTATCGATTTTAAGCCATAATTCTCGCTTTGAAGCTAGTAAATCTGTAATATCTCTTATTTCATCACAATTTTTGCCACCGCGCTTTTGGGCTGCACATGCAATTCCCTATTATATGTCCAGGATATTGCGTTGTACTTGACTGCTCTATACGTTCGAAGAAGCATAAGATTATGCCCGTGATGTAAATGTGTAGCTGTATTGATATTCTTACAACGATGAACTGGGCAAGCAGAAAATTTATGTTACTAGTGCTTGACCACGGCTGGGAATCGATCGCGAACCCGCGTCCTTCGTATTTCTAGAACAACGCTCTTCCTTCTCAGTGAGTTACAACGCCAAGTTCGGAACAATTTTATTTTCTTGTGATATTAATGACATCTTCTTTTCCATGCCTGGTGCGAGCTATGTTAACCAGCGAACGTTATGTATGATTTGCATTACGAGTAGAATGTCAGGGGGAAAATCATACACAACATTTGCTGCATGGATTAATAGCTGGCGCAAGGCATGGAAAGGAAGAAATTCGTTTATGCCAATTAACTTTGTATCTCAGAAGGTAGAGCGTCGTTCAAGAAATGCGAAGGTCACGCGTTCGATTCCCAGCCGTGATGAAGTAGAATTAATTTTCTGATTGCCCGGCTCAAACTCGTAAGAATATGAATATACACCAATACATTTACATCACGATCAATTGTGCAGATAATATTTATCAATTTTGACAGTTTGCAGTAGGCTACTCGAATGTGGTATAATAAATTGGACGGTGTATATGGGTTTATGGAATTAAACTAATTAGTCTATATATGTATGTCTATAATATGAGGGTTTATATAAACCTGCTTTATCTCGGAAATTATATATCTAATTATTAAGAATGTAATGTGCAATTAGCTAACATTGAAACAGTTATCTTGATATTTTCGCTTTCTGCCAATTGGCCTATACTGGATATTTTTGAATATTTTATAATTGATGATATTTATTTAGACACGTGTATATCACCCACACAGATTTAGTTTGGAGTGTAATTATAATATTGGTTCAGTTTCGCGTCTTTCTTTCTTTCTTTCTTTCCTTCTTTCTTCGTTTTTCTTCTTTTTTTAAATTTTGGATCTACAGAATTTTTTAAACTGTCCTAATAATTTCTCATACTACAGAACAAAACGTTTAATAAAATAAAAATTTTGGGACGCCGACGTTATTTTCGAATTAAACTAGTTTAAATGCAATTTAACTGCTATCTTGAAACGTCATTGTTGTCATTATAACCACAGTTACGGAATGCTATTTCGTCGTCACATGAGATAGCAAGCACATTCGGCATCCCATGAGATAGCAAGCACGCATGCGCCGTCAGTGCGACACAAAAACGCTGTCAGGAAGAGGCTCTTTCTCATGGTTATACCGTTTTTTTGTTTTTTTCTTCCATTTTGACCGGAGCCACCTACAGAAAGTGTTGGTGGCTAGTCTTACATAAATCAACTCACAAGAACGTCAAGGCGACGAAATGAGTGACGAAGATGAATTCCATCAGCTAAATGACGAAGCCGAAGGTCTTGAAGCACAGTCTATAGCGAAGATAAAATGGCAGGAATGCTACAAGGGCTTCAATCAACTCTGAAGGAACTCGCGCAGTCGTCCCGGTCTCAGACAGATCAGAGAAGACTTCCTGCTTCAACCTGATGCAACAAATCCGGATGAGCGAAGCGGCAACGGCACAGAAAAGACCTAAATGTCAGCTCAATCGTTGCTAACTTGCTCGACTCGAGCACAGAGCACGAGGCCCCAAAGTCTGGCCCTGACGCAGCGGTAGACGATGACGTAATTGATAGCCTGACTAAAATTGCCTCCTTTATTGAACAAGTCTTAACAGGAGAACTCTCCAGCGACATGCTGAAAGAAACGGGTGAGAAATACCCTCTACCAGATATCTACCAGATAACTGCCAACAACTCACAACCGCAGTGGTTACTGAGGAATTATGGGACTTGTTGTCGAGGAAAAGCAGAACAGTTGGCCTTGGATTTCAGAAATTTCAAGGGCCCTTTATGCAAGGGTTGTCAACTCTAACTATCTTGGCCGATAGGCTGTTAAAGGATGTTAAAAATAGCAAAAACACCAACATTCGTGATGTTTGCAACAACTCCTGGATGGCATTGTCCTACTAGGAAATGCAGACTGGAACTTAATCATGAAGAGGCGAGAATTCATTAAATCTGATTTGAACCCGCCCTACACACGACTGTGTAAAGAGGATATTAAACCCACCACCAAGCTATTTGGGGATGACCTCTCCAAGCACATTAAGGAAATGTCGGAAGACAAAAGGGCTGGCCAGCAAATGGAGAAAACTGTGTCTTCTGCAAAGGTTATGAAAAATCGAGGCTACCTGTTCAAACCATATGATAAACCAACAACCAGTTTTGGCCAGACTTGGCAACCTGGAAACAAGTCGTACAACTACAGGCGTCCTTTTTTTGGACACAGTCGGGCGACTAGCCAAGCAACGATGGGGCCGAGAAGGCAGAACAACCACAACAACAAACCCCAGGAACCCAAGAGGTAATATTTAACAATTTCCACACTAATGATTTGGCTAATATATCAACTAGTGCATCACACAAATCGCGCATGTCCTTTCAAGCTGGTCAAGTGAGACAATCTGTACAGAATTGGGCCATACTGACTAGTGACCCATTCATTTTAAATGCTTTAAAGCATTATCACATTGAATTTGAGAGGGTTTTCCCTATAAAAACACAAAGGCCTTACCAAATCAGATTTTCTACGGAGGAAGCACAAATAATAGATTCGGAAATCTTGAAATATTTGGCAAAAAGTGTTATTGAACCTGCTTGTGTGACTCCAGAAAGTTTTGTATCTACCATTTTCATTCGGCCTAAAAAGGATGGTTTACACAGGATGATACTGAAATTCAAACCATTCAATGAGTTTGTGGATTACAACCATTTTAAAATGGATACATTTCAAACTGCCATAAAACTTATCCGACCTGGATGTTTCTTGGCATCAATTGACCTTAAGGACGCCTACTATTCCATACCAGTTGCGGATGAGGATAGGAAATTCCTTATGCTCGAATGGAAAGGAACCTTTTACCAATTCACTTGTCTCCCTAATGGGCTTTCTTGTGCCCCTAGGGTTTTTACAAAAATCTTGAAAGTTGTGTACTCTCATTTGAGAGGTTTAGGACAGACTGGTATGGGTCACATTGGTGATTCCTTATTGCTATACTACGACCATGAAGCTTGTAAAAACAATATTGTTGATATTACAAACTTGTTCCAACAATTGGGGTTTGTCATACACCCCGAGAAATCGGGTTTGCATCCAGTACAAGCTATTGAATTCCTTGGATTTGTGATTAATAGCCTGGCTATAGACAGTGAGCTAGGCTATTACATAGGAAAATCTCAAAGGTCAAATCTTTTTGCAATAGCTTATTAAATAAACATAAACTTACAATAAGGGAGGTTGCTCAGGTAGTAGGCCTACTGGTCTACAGTCTTCCAGCAGTACAGTTCGAACCTCTGCATTATAGAATTAACCTAGAAGGGGATAAAATTTCGGCGCTACGTGCCAACAAAGGCGACTTTGATTCATCTATGACCATTTTCCACCAGTCTAATTTAGAGCTCATGTGATGGGTGAATAATATTGACTCTGCTTTTAAACCAATTTTGCAGAGCACTCCTACAGTAATTCTCACCACCGATGCTTCCACCCTACAATCTTGGCAACAAGTTAATGAAACACCTATAAAAATCAATAAAACAGACAAAATCCCCTCCCCCCTGCACAATGTTGGATATAGATTCTAAAAAATTGTGTACAATAGTTCATCGATGGTAGAGAGCACTATGTGTAAGTTTCTTGCTCATCTTAATCAACATTGGAAGGGGGGAAGGGGGGAAGAATAAATTAAATTGTTAATCAGACTGGATGTTTCATTGGTTTGAGCCATGATTGACTGATTTTGCAGATTTACGAAATGCCTTAATACGTACAGTATTTTACACCAAGATTATGTTGAATTTCCAGTTTATATAGTTACATGTTTAGTAAAGCAATAATGCTTTAATTTAATATCACTTCTGACACCTACAGAACGTGCATGTAGCCTGGGTACGAGAAAGAATATTTTAAGGAGCAATCAGAATTGTAGTTATGGTTTAAAACTGAAAACTCTTGTTATTATGCTGGACGATTTGAATACAATTTCCACTAAAGTATGATCAGTGTCTCGCGTTGAAACAATATAAGTACCGACTTTAATGTTTTCATGATATAAAGCAACGGTTGAGACGGTTGACAACAGCACTTGACACTCCATTTTGGCTACGTATTTAACCTGCATTTTAGAATGAACAACGGTTGACAGTTTGAGATTAATAAAAAAAATAATATTTAATATAATTTTTTTATCAATGCTGTGAACCGTCAACCGTTGTAAAATTCATATTAAAGTCTTATGATCATCTTGTCAACCGTTAGAGTCAACCGTCTCAACAGTGTTAAAATCGTTGTTTTCAGTTATCTCTATAATTACCTTATACTTATGAATATATTTCTAACTAGAAACGCGTTTACCAACACTTGAGCTAAGCTAAACAAAATATAGATATATTGAAATGCAAGAATTCCGTCTAATTTTCGTCCTAAATCACACTTTCATTGTCTAGCCACGAATGGGCCATTGCCGATTACGCATTGTGCGCACGCTCACTGCTTGCAGTTTGAGCTCTCTGGCATGGTTTGATTTCCCACATTCGTGAGGCATCAAAGGTAACTACTAATACTAGTTACTTTCATCCTGCTTATCAGCACTACACTGATGAGGCACAAAAGGCGGAAACGGTACCGTCTAAATGTATAATTAAACCAACTTTCGATATATATATATATATATATATATATATATATATATATATATATATATATATATATATATATATATATATATATATGTATATACAGGGTGTATCAAAAAAAGGCAATCCTCGACTGAAATGTAAATTGCTAAACAAATAATAGACGAAAACGTTAAAGTTTACATTCATTTTAAAGCGTAGCTATTCAGCTTTCTAACAGTGGGTTGTTTCTTAAATTTGA